ATTTCCTCATCTATCGTTTAAAATGAACACTTTAAGTCTGATTTTTGTAGTTAAGCATCTCCAAAAAAATATCTGCAGTTTACTGAAGTCTTCGATTAGCTCGAGAACTTTTGAACCTGAAGTCTTGAAAAAATAATATCCAGGGAACTTTACTTATATACTCGTCTATCTGGAGATCTTCTGAAAGGATATTCTGTAGCTTATGCAAAGCTTCCTGAAAATCTTAAAACTTCCTTAAATTTTACAAAATGACCTCAACTTCTACGCAGCTCCCTGAATTTATTCCAAATTCCAATTCCACCCAACCAGGGGGATATAAGATTCGCTTACAATTATGAGGGATTCATCATGGGAGGATGTTGGTGGAGACCACTTGAACGGAGGATGAGGTATACCGAGCTACGGTCCAATGCAAGAAAATTGGAGACCGAAAAATGTGGAGTGTATAAGTGTGTAGTATACATGGATAGGCTAAAAGCGAATAAGAAGCGTTCATAGTACGATAATTTGATTTCGCATGCTTTTACTGCTGAGCGAGAATAGGAAAGAATCGAAACAAGTGTGTGCGTCGTTCTACAATGTTATAAATAAAATGCTTGGTGATATGGTCGAAAGTGGAATTGCCTGCAGAGGATTATAGGAAATGCTACTAACATTCAATGTAATAGATTTTTGGTTTGCGTGTAACATCTGGAAAATTCCTTGAAATTTAACGAAGTTCCCAAAACATCCAAGAAGATCATTGAATTTTTTTGAAGTAAGATCTCTGACAAACTGCTGCATAGTTCCCTGAACTAAAGTGACCCAAGGAGCGTTGCAAGCATTAAAGAGGTTTTATAGCAGTCTACAAGCCTAAATAATGGTCTATATATCCTTAAAAAAAAAACCAAACAAATTAAATGGGAAGGATCCCTGTAGTGCTTAGAAGATTGATGGACTATTTTTAGATCTTCCACAAATTTCCCTGAACTTTTTCAAAACTTCCTACACTTACGTCAATTTCACGCAGCTCCAATAGTAAATGCTACGAAATTCGCAAAACAACTATAAAATTGAGATAATTGACATATAGGGGAAACGCTCCTATAGTTGCGGTACGTTAGAAGCGTTAGGTTCCTATAGTTGTGCATGGAGACTCAATACACAACTATAGGAAACTAACGCTTCTAACGTACCGCAACTATAGGAGCGTTTACCCTACTGGCACTTTTACAATTTTGTATTGCTCACTTATTGATTTCTAAGTGCTAATTAAGATTTCAGATTGGTATTTTTTTTAATGCTCGTCATAGAATTTTAAAAGAATTTTTTTAATTAGGGTTAACTACCCCATTTCCGGCCGGTATGTTATTATAACTGATGGCTTCCAAATTTATTTACCTTTCCGTACAAGACCCGTACATGTAAGATTTGATAAGGAGAAACAAATTGATGAGATGCTGTTAAAAAACTAACACTGCTTCTTGACGCCAAACTCGGCCTACGGATTCTAAACTCGGCCTAACGCATTGAAACGCCATTGAAACGCCAATGAATTCACTTCGGCCTATTGGATGAAGATAAAGATTGATTCTGTTGGAGCGCTTCATTTGTATTTGAAAATATTGGGTGCAAACATTCATATCACGCGTTCTTATTGACTTTTTTCGGTAGCATTTGAACTAAATTATCGTACCAAACGCATAATTTACCTGTTAACGCCAAAATCATGGATTTATTTGATGTTTTTTGCTTGATAGGCCAACAATGGGTGCTTAGGCCGAAGTAGTAGTATTCATGGAACATTAAAGATTGTCTACGCTGTGTGATAATCAATTGAAAGAGACCGATTTATTGGTCGTCCTGCCTTGGCAGAGGCATTAAGCGATATAGATTTATTGTTTGTTTTTTTTTTTTACATACAGTAGATACATAATAACAGTGACAATTATAGATATAAAAGTGGTGAAATCTATAGGGTGTCCCAGAATGTCTAAGCACGATTAAAAAAACGATAACGTAACTCTGTTTACAGCAAATTCGATTTTTATTGCGTATGAATGTTCTCTATAGTATTCTCTTACAGTTAAACGTAGAAAATCCAAGATCCGATCAGTCATTAGCCAAGCAGCGGATTTTCGAAAGACTTTTCTCAGTCTTTCGCAAACTTTGTAACGAAATCCGCTGCCTTTACATGTTTTCGCAAATATGCTTTGGTAAGGGCCCAAAAAGTTTCGATTGGCCTGGCTTGGGGACAGTTTGGCGGATTTATCTCCTTGGCTACGAATTGGACCTTGTTGTAATTAACCGACCCCAAATCCGGCAAAACCAGTACTGAGGCGTCTTGTTTGCAAATCATGAGTAACAGACGCTTGTTAAAACACTCACGCACGTAAACATCGGTTGCCATTGTATCCTTTGTCACAAATAGCTGCCAAACCATAGCATTTTTACCAATTTTTTTGATAAAAATTGAATTGTCCGCGTGATCAAAACACTTCTACCATCACGAACGGTGTAGTTCTGATCACCAGGAAGACTTATGTAATCAAATTTAACGTATGATTCATCAGCAGCACCGATGGTGTAGTGGTAAGCGTGATTATCTCTCACCCCAGCAGGCCTGGGTTGAATCCCAGTCGGCGCAGCCGGGATGTTCTGAGTAATAACATCTCTGATCACGCCTTCCTTCGGGACCCCCGGTTCATGAGTTGATGGGTCGATAGGTAGGATCCAGATGTGGAAGCTGCCTCCCTGGCGTTGGTAGCATTGGTACTCAGCACGGAAAATCAAAGGAAAAAAAACGTATGATTCATTGTCCATAATCACGCACACCGATTATCCGCACATCAATTGGTCATATAACTTCCGAGCCCTCGGTTTGATGAATGCGGGTTGTTTTTCACTCCACTTTGGCTTTTTCTGCATCTTATAAGTCTTTAGACTCATTCTTGCCTTGGCCCGCTGGACGTCACTTTTCGAGGATCCCATTTTTTCCACGTATCGAACCGAAGCACATTTCTTGCTAGTGAAAGCTTGCAGGATTCCCGGTCCAGATTTTGGTCAACAGGGTTCGTCCAGATTTTTGATTGTCATGGAAAGTTGCTTGATCACCATACTTCCGAATCGCGTTTCGAACGGCTCCAAAGCTTAAACCTTCCAATTTCGCTAATTGACTCAGAGAAATTTTAAGGATAGTACACCATTTGTGCACGATCTGTTCGCGCTTTTCCGGAAAAATGCTTCGTATTTTCACGGAAATGTGAAGAACCGACACTAGTGATAGACGGAACTGTTGGTCGAAATGTAAGCAATGATTCAGCGTGATAATCACGTCATCTGAAACAAGCAGCGGTGTTCCAAAGTCGTGCTTAGACATTCTGGAACACCCTATATGGACTGGTTTAATAGCTACGTCATGCTTAGGATCGTCGCTTGCACGAACAATGGGGTTTCACCAGCGAAAAAAATATTTTCTATGGCCATTTTTTAATTTTCAATTAATACTTTTAACTAGTCTATTGCTCATTTCAATACTTTATTGCTTCTGAGCGAGTAGGTTTATTGGTAATTTCACATTAAACTATGGGAATTCTCCCTACTTTAAGTGTAGACGATTAAAAGTGAACGGAATTGAACCTGAGATAAATCTGGCATCACTGACTGCCAGCGTCTGGTGGCAAGATGAGAAAGAAGAACCTGCGAACAAACGAAAAAATGATCTCCGACTGCCATGAAAAATAAACAGTCCCGTTCCTTTGCCACCAGCGCAGCATTCAGATAGACGGTGCCAGTCAGTGCGGATACTGTGAGTGTTTCCATAGAGTAAATTAATTCATAATTTACTGGTGAGGGAGAAGCTTTGCGCGCAATGGATACAGTGAGTGCCAGCTAAATGCGCTTCGTCGCTGTCGTCCTTTTCAGTTTAAATGTGGAAATGAGCGCTACTTCATTCCGAGCTATGTCTACACGTTGCTGTAAGAATGTAACGCCTTGAAACAAGATAAGTTTTCTGTTGGGGAAAATTGCTGACAAGATCTAGATTCTAGAAAGATTCCACTCGTTCTGTATTAAACAATATGACTGCGGTAAGGAATGGGGCCTAATTAATCCAGCAGATGGAAATGAATTGAGATCATTTCAAGGAAAATTCTGAAAGCACAATTTTGGCCAGTGCCAAGCTTACAACAATGCAAACAAAGCTGAATTAAAATTTAAAGCTTACTATCTGTGTTTGGATTCAGAACAGCTTCAAATACGAGACGACTGCCTTTATCTTCAAAAAAAACTTCATAAAGAGCATGCATTTTGGAACAGACTACTATAAACTCTGCGATGTACAAGGATTGCGTTTCATCTGTGTTGGGGGATTTAGGTTCTTTGGTTGAGCTGAATACTCCGTTTGCCTTTCCGTGCTCCAAATATACACCTTGTAAGCCACCTCAGGTACCTTAGATCCTACGTTGTGTGTTTTTCCAGAATCGTACTATTTGTCCTTCCAATTCCGATCTTTTTCCGAATATCCTAGGTATCCTTTTGCTCCTCTTGTTTCCTTTCCTTCCACAATTGCAATAGAACTGAACCAATTCCACTTCCAAACACTTTATTTCAGAACCAAAGTTTAATACACTTTATTTGTACGGGTTTGTAAAGCGCGCGCATATATATATTTTTTGCCTTTATTCGTTCGCTATCGGTTGGCTAACTAACTTCACTGTTTCGTTATCTGTCTATCATACCTAGGAATTCATGTACTATCTCTTCGTGTTCTATTCGTATTGAGTGTTCATTTAGGTACTAATAGTGTAAGTATTTAGTGAGTGTCTTCTATATGTGGTGAATGTATAACAGTTCTGTATCAACCAGTGTTGTAAATTCAATTTTAAATAATTCAATTATTGCTTAATACTAAAACATCCAACATTTCCGCCCTCCTTGAAACTAAGTTTCAACATTCCTGAACAAGCCTTGCTTATGTTAGATAACGTTCAAAAATTTTGCTTAATCCCTATTCGATGAATTCAATTAATATCGGCAGAATCCTCGGTGGGTAACGGGCAGATGCGGTTTGCTGGACGCCTGTAGGTCCCTTTAGACGTCTTGATCGTCACCACTCGTATAACTCCGTCTGCGCCAGGGTGAACCTCGGTTATCCTCGCTAGGGGCCATTGAAGTGGTGGTAAGTTGTCCTCCCGAAGAATCACGATGCTGCCTACACGGATGGTGCTTGGTAGACGGTTCTTACTTGCTTCCTGAAGTCCAGTGATGTACTCTTGACTCCAACGCTGCCAGTATCGTTGGAACATCTGCTGCCGTTGCTGATAGTGGGCTAAGCGGTTAGTGGGTATGGCTGTAAGATCGGGATCGGGGAGGGCTTTCATAGAAGTCCCGATCAAAAAATGGGCTGGTGTTAGGGCATCGAGGTCTCTAGGGTCGTCTGATAATGGGGCTAGAGGTCTAGAGTTAAGGGCGGCCGATATTTGTACGAGCAGGGTGCAGAAGTTTTCATGACTCAATTGGTTCGTACCGACTTCCTTTTTCAGGCAACTTTTGGCGGAGCGTACTGCTGCCTCCCACAATCCACCGAAATTGGGGGCACGGGGTGGAATTAAATGCCAGGATATTCCTTGCTGTGACATTTCAGATCCAATAGCTTCTTGGGCAGCTTTGCTGTTGAGGCTCTTGTACAGTTCGTACAATTCGTGTTTAGAGCCTTGGAAATTTGTAGCATTATCTGAATGGATCTGCGATGGAAGTCCATGGTGTCCAATGAATCGGTGAAGTGCAGATAAGAATCCAGCAGTTGACAGGTCCATGACTAGTTCCAGGTCTATCGCTTTGGTCGTAAAGCATATGAAAACTGCAATGTAACATTTCGGTGGGGCTGCTCGACGGTGAGGGGGCTTTAAATAGAAGGGTCCACAAAAGTCCACGCCAGTTATGAGAAACGGCCGAGCTGGGCGTACTCGCGTAGATGGAAGCTGTCCCATCGGTTGTTCAATCGATGTGGGGCTCGACCGGAAGCACCGATGGCACATTCGAAGTACAGAACTGACGACTCTTTTGCCATGAATTGGCCAGAATTCCTGCCTTGTAGCAGCGAGCGTAGCTTGCTGTCCTCCGTGGTGTGTTTGAAGATGATAGTATTTGATGAGTAGGCGAGTGAAGACATGTGATTTTAGTAATACCGCTGGATGAATTGTCGCATAGTTCTCCAGCGAGTGTCGTAGTCGTCCGCCAACTCTGATAATGCCACCCTTGTCTAGGAAAGGGCATAAAAGCTTTAACGGTGATTTATGTGGAACTTGATAGCGCCTTTTCAAGGAGTTGATTTCTTCCAAGAAACATTCTTCTTGAACCAGCCGCACGAGGGCCATTTTTGCAGAGTTTATCTCATGGACACTCAAAAATAACGAAGTGTTTCTTTGGGTGGATTTTCGACAGTTGGCAGCAAACCGTAAGCATAATGCGACTATTCTGACTAACGGAAGAAATGAAGATCGAAGAGTGAAGAAGATGTTGGGCTCTTTCGAGGCAGTGGTTGCTTGAACGACGACTCGGGGTTCCAGATCTACTTCTTCAGGTACGGATCCAGGACATTCCGTCAGCCATTCTTTCGGCGCCAGCTTCAACCATGACGGTCCGTGCTTCCAACGATCACTTTCCAAGAAATCCTCAATGGTCATTCCACGTGAAACCAGATCTGCGGGATTCTCCTTACCGGATACATGTAGCCATGGGTGTCCATAGGTGGTTGTTTGTATAGTCGAAACACGGTTTGCTATGAAGGTTTTCCACGAATTTGGCGGAGCTTTCAACCAATGCAGAACAACAGTTGAGTCCGACCAGAAAAATGCCTGCACTCTATCTAGTGCGAGGGCCCCAATAACTGTCTGATATAGATGCGCAGCTTCTCTAGCTGCGCATAGTTCTAATCTCGGGATCGTGAATCGTTTTAAGGGAGCGACCCGAGATTTCGAGGACAAAAGCTCAATGCGTACGTTGCCCTGTTGATCCATGGAACGCACATATAAGCAGGCTCCGTACGCAAGATCGGAGGCGTCAGCGAAACAGTGGAGCTGTACGTCGACGTAGTCTGGGATGAAGGAGAACCTGGGTATGCTGAATTCTGCTAATTTGAACAGTCGGCGATGGAAATCCGTCCACTTTTGCTGTAGTTGTGGTGGTACTGGGGAATCCCATCCTGTTTGCAGTAGCACCAGCTCTTGCATAATTATTTTTGCAGTCACCACTAAGGGAGATATCAATCCTAGGGGATCGAATAGTTTGGCTATTGCAGATAATATGCGCCTTCTGGTCCATTCTCCTTCTTCCTCTCCAACATTATATAAGAACCTAAGCTGGTCCGCTTTCGGTTCCCAAGTAATCCCTAGCGTTTTAACCTTTTCATCGGGATTCAACTCAAAGGTTATTGTAAGATCAGTACCCAACTGGTCCTCAGGAATACCGGATAGGACTTCAGGCTGATTCGAGCACCATTTCCGGATTGGAAATCCTCCTTTGGCCATCAACGATGTCAATTTTTTTCTAAGCTCGATGGTTTCGACGACATTTGCGGATCCTCCAATATAGTCGTCGACGTAAAAATCCTTTTGTAGCGCTAGGCGAGCTTTAGTACCTTCAACTCCTTCATCTTCAGCCAGCTGTTGTAGTGCCCGGGTTGCCAGAAAAGATGACGGTGTAAGCCCATACGTTACGGTCAGCAACTCGTAAACATCTATGGGATCATCCTTCGTGAAGCGAAAAAATATCCGTAGACGAAGAGTGTCATTAGCGTCCTGAAGTACCTGCCGATACATTTTTTCCACATCTCCCACAAGCGCCACTTCATGCTTGCGGAAGCGTATCAGGAGATTTAGCAGATTATCCTGAATTACAGGTCCCTTCAGAAGAACATCGTTGAGGGAGTATCCGCTGTCTGTACGTGCCGATGCGTCAAATACGACGCGCACTTTTGTAGTTGTGCTTGATTCTTTTATCACCGCGTGGTGCGGCAAATAAAACACCTTCCGTTGACCTACTCCGTTGGCCTCTGCCTGCAGTTCCGTTGTCGTTAGCCTTCGCATGTGCCGCATGTCCACGTACTCCTTCATGAAAGCGTGGTATGGTTCCTTCATATCCGGGTGCCGTTCCAACCGATTCTCCAATTTCTTGTACCTGTCCAACGCCGTTGCTCGTGATTCTCCCAACATCCGGTCCCAGCTATTTTGTTTCGGCAGCTGCACGATATACCGGCCATCTGCTGCTCTGGAATGCGTACTCTTGAAATGCTCCTCGCAGTCTTGTTCCTCCTTTGACCATGCAGGTCGATCGTCGCAGCTTTCTACTCTCCAGAACTTCTCCAATAGATCTTCGATTCTCTCGATTGGGGTGACTGCCGTGCAACATCGAACTGACTGTTTCTGCTGTAGACTTTCATCACGTCCGGATACAATCTACCCGAATACCGAATCCACGAGTATTGGCAGCTTTGGACCCAACACCATTCTTTTCACCTCTCTATCGCGCAGGAAACTGAAGAAATGTTCCGCTCCTAGTAGCAAATCAATGCGGCCGCTTTTGTTGAATTGTGGATCCGCCATCTGCAGGTCATGAGGAATATTCCAATGCTTGATAGGACTCGTAACCAAAGGAAGTTCAGATGTCACTCGCTGCAAAACCAGGAAATCCAATTCAATAGAGAACTCGGTGACTCTGGACTTAACCGTTGTATTCACTGCATGTCTTGCCGTCGATTCCGATTGTCCAACTCCTGTTATGGGAACGCATATTGCTCGACGTTTAAGCTTCAGCATTTGGCAAAGTCGTTCGCTCATCACATTGACCTGCGATCCATTATCCAGCAACGCTCGGGTCAGCTGTGTACCACCATTTTGATCCCGTATCGCCACGACCACTGTTGAAAGGAACACCTTGGAACTCAAAATTTCCTTTTTCGTTCCAACGCTATATGATCCGACTGCGACTCCTTCGGCTGCTTCGATTTGTTCTTCTTCCGCTGTTTCTGCTGCAACGTGAGGCCTAGCTGCGTCGCTTTTGCCATTGCTGCCTCCTCCATTACCAGGTTGAAACCCCGGATGTATCAAAGTGTTGTGCTTCTTCCCACATGTCTTGCAGCTAAACCTTGACGAGCAGTCACGAACCCAGTGACCCGTTTTGAAGCAGTTGCTGCATAGCCGTTTTCCGTTGACAAAGTCCAACTTTTCTTTTAGTCCAAAACCCTGGAATTTTGCGCACCGTACCAAATAATGCAATTCACCACAACATTGGCAGGTTGGATCACTTTTTCCGCCCTCCGTAGACGTTTGTACAGTCACGCGCTCTCGTTTAGCCGCCGCCTTGGGATGAGCAGAGCCGTGATTGATGGTGTTGGATAACACAGCTTCCAAAACCCTCGTTCTTTTCTCCAGAAAGTCCACCAATACCGCGAACGTAGGTTCCCGTAACGATGCAGCGTGATCCTCCCATAGCTGCAGAGTATGCGCATCCAGCTTTGAACACATCCAATGGATGATCATCGATCCCCAGTGCTCCGTCTTTTCGCCCAGCTGCTTCAAAATCTTCAGCCGTTGATCGAACTCGTCCACCAGTCCATGTATTCGCCCAGCCGACTCCTTCTCGATCCTTGGGAATTCCATCAATGCCTGAAGATGGCGCTTCTTCAGCAAATATTCATTCGAGTACCGCTTGGTGATGGTGTCCCATGCTATTATGTAGTTTCCGTTTGTGATCATTAGAGACTCGATCAGTTTAGCTGCTTCCCCTCTCAGTGCAGACTTCAAATAATGAAATTTTTGCACGTCGCTGAGTTCATTTGAGTCGTGAATCAGCGACACGAACGTAGATTTGAAAGATAGCCAGCCCTTGTAATCCCCGTCAAACTCTGGTAATGAAATTTGTGGAAGCCGAACCCCTGTGTGCACACCCAATGAAGCATTATTCCGACCAAGAGTATTATCCAAATTTGCTGCTGGTGTAGTAGGTTCTAATTTACTCAAAAAAGCAGCCCGAATCGCATAATATTGCTCTTCGAAGTCGACGTATGCTTTGCTCGAGACGGCTAATACATAGGTGTAACAGTCGGAAGAAGTGTTAGTTTGTTTACTTAAATGAACCATGCCCATTTTGTTATGGCATGTTTGCTATACGAAATGCGCCTCGTGTTTATTAGCGAATTTCACATCAAAGATTGATTAATTGAGTAGGAAATAAGTTTGGCACGGCATTTGTGACCAGCATACACCTTCCGGTAGTATGAAACAGGTCAAAAACTGTTCAAATCCGCAGATAAAATTTTTGTTTTGAATTTCTGTATAGCAAAATAGTGAACTTTTCGTGAACATTAACGGCAAAGAACTCACCAACACTGGGAGACTGTGAGTTCCTGCCCACCTGTTCATTTTCCATCGTGTGCTTTGCTAGTCTCCGCCTCTACTTCGCCTTTCGCATCTAGCTCAGATATTTCGTCCTGCAAATCGTTAAAATCCTCCCAAGATGCCTCTAACTTATCCAACCTGGATTGAACATGCCCTTGTTTACTTTCCGGATCATATGCATCCAAAAATTGCTTATGCCGATCCAAAGCAGCAAAAATGCGCTCGCGCTTCTTAAGCTTTTCCTTAAGTTTTGTAGCCATACCCACACTATCAGATAAGTAACGTTCCACAAGCAAAGGTCCGGAAAAGATAGACAAAAACAGACCCAGGAAGTACCGCTGATAGGACTATAAAGTCAATGGACAGTCACTCACCTGAGACCTGTCGAATTCAGGCCTTGTATAAATTTCAAATGCGCCAGCTATCAGCCCTCCGCAACCATATACGGTCCTTTGCTTCGTTACTTTCCAATGATAACCGTTGCAAAATTTGCAAAGGATGATCGCTGTAGCCTGTCAACAATAGGCCTTGATTTTAATTTATATTCTCGCCTCACGCTTCCCAAAACCGTTTAAGCATATGCATGTGAAGTACTCAACGTACTCCTCGATCCAGCAAAAATCGCTTTCCGCCAATCGCCCAAGTCAACCTTCCTTGCCAACGGTTTGATCGTATCTGCCGTGTATGGGTCCTCACCAGCTCTGGTCTTCACCGCCCGACGTCATATGATCCCTTTCGTAACTAATCTCGTTGTAAACACTCCAACGAATATATCATGTAGAGATGTCTCCGTTCCGCAGGTATATGAAATTGGTGAAAGAGATCCAAGTAGCACAACAAACAAAAAGGGTAAGCTTGGACAGGCACTCACCTGAGGCCTGTCAACAATAGGCCTTGTATAATATAGGGGAATTTACGTATTCTCGTCAATCTAAGCAGCGTCTGCACTTCTACTAGCATTTTCTCAGCGTCACGCACATATATGATGTGTCTGTTTGTTTACATTCATCTACTGCTTGCTTCTCTATCCATTCCAATCGACAGAATTTTTCAAAACGTTTTGAAAGCGTTTTTACAACGCTCCAAACTTCTCAGGTGAGTGTGACTATTGTCGGCAGCCTCTTTTTCTTCGGCAACCTTCCCATTAGAACTGCGTGTTAACCAGCTGTTCTATTATCGGCAACTCGAAATCAACCCCATTTTGTAGTGCGTATGCTTTATTTGAAGTTAAATGTAGCATTACTGGATTGCTCGATCGTTCAAATATAATCAGATTGAAGCTGAAAGGCTAAACAATCGTTTGGAAACAATCAGGGAAGTGCGTTGATGGGAAAACATAGTGAAATTAACGTTTAAATTTTGGTTGCCGAAAACAGTCAATGGGTGCCGAAGCCAACATTTACCCTATATAGCAGGAACCAGCAATACCCAATACGAATGTATATACCTTGCTCGGTAACCGTTATCCGGATCCACGATGGAAAATGAACAGGTGGGCAGGAACTCACAGTCTCCCAGTGTTGGTGAGTTCTTTGCCGTTAATGTTCACGAAAAGTTCACTATTTTGCTATACAGAAATTCAAAACAAAAATTTTATCTGCGGATTTGAACAGTTTTTGACCTGTTTCATACTACCGGAAGGTGTATGCTGGTCACAAATGCCGTGCCAAACTTATTTCCTACTCAATTAATCAATCTTTGATGTGAAATTCGCTAATAAACACGAGGCGCATTTCGTATAGCAAACATGCCATAACAAAATGGGCATGGTTCATTTAAGTAAACAAACTAACACTTCTTCCGACTGTTACACCTATGTATTAGCCGTCTCGACCGAGTCCAGCCGAATCCAACCGATGCTCAGATGAACCAATCTGACTGTGCTCTGGGTGTTGATCAGACCAAATCAAAACAAACTTTCGATTCGTAGATCAGTTTGATGTTGTTCTTCGATTAATCCACACGTATCGACGTTCAATGTCCCGACTGTTTGAATACCCCACAGTGCGCTTAGTTTCAAAGACTAATCGATGTTTGTCATTCACTAATCGTCCTGACTCCAGTGTAGAATGTAGCATTCAATTGTCGAAGTGTTGCTACGTCGCGTTGTATATCGCCAATCGCACGACCACAAAAGTTGCAGTTAGCCCCACAATATTGTGTAAAATGATCCGTTGGGTGGTATAAGTAAAGGGAGCTGATTAACTTGCCGTTGAAATATTTCACCGCAATTGTCTCCTCAAACTGCCAGCAAACATGGCCTTGGCGCCATCCAAGTCCTCGTAACAATACGACAATGATCCAATTGTCCTCAGCACCGACGCTTCCCTACTCAACCGTTGATCCTGGTCACGGCACCAATGTTGGGGGATTTAGGTTCGTTGGTTGAGCTGAATACTCCGTTTGCCTTTCCGTGCTCCAAATATGCACCTTGTAAGCCACCTGTGTTTTTCCAGAATCGTACTATTTGTCCTTCCAATTCCGATCTTTTTCCGAATATCCTAGGTATCCTTTTGCTCCTCTTGTTTCCTTTCCTTCCACAATTGCAATAGAACTGAACCAATTCCACTTCCAAACACTTTATTTCAGGACCAAAGTTTAATACACTTTATTTGTACGGGTTTGTAAAGCGCGCGCATATATATATTTTTTGCCTTTATTCGTTCGCTATCGGTTGGCTAACTACGAGACGGCTAATACATAGGTGTAACAGTCGGAAGAAGTGTTAGTTTGTTTACTTAAATGAACCATGCCCATTTTGTTATGGCATGTTTGCTATACGAAATGCGCCTCGTGTTTATTAGCGAATTTCACATCAAAGATTGATTAATTGAGTAGGAAATAAGTTTGGCACGGCATTTGTGACCAGCATACACCTTCCGGTAGTATGAAACAGGTCAAAAACTGTTCAAATCCGCAGATAAAATTTTTGTTTTGAATTTCTGTATAGCAAAATAGTGAACTTTTCGTGAACATTAACGGCAAAGAACTCACCAACACTGGGAGACTGTGAGTTCCTGCCCACCTGTTCATTTTCCATCGTGGGCTAACTAACTTCACTGTTTCGTTATCTGTCTATCATACCTAGGAATTCATGTACTGTCTCTTCGTGTTCTATTCGTATTGAGTGTTCATTTAGGTACTAATAGTGTAAGTATTTAGTGAGTGTCTTCTATATGTGGTGAATGTATAACAGTTCTGTATCAACCAGTGTTGTAAATTCAATTTTAAATAATTCAATTATTGCTTAATACTAAAACATCCAACAATCTGTTTAAACTAATCAGCATACAAGGAATTCACAGTTTTCCAAAGTTGAATGTTCATGGCACGTTTTCACATTTATGGATTTATCACACTGCATATTTACTGTCAGTGCCACCATGATCGATTTTCCTCTCACAAAACAGAACACGTGCCATTTAGATTTGTCCACATTTCATCCGTTTCATGTCTACCGGCTGAATACACCCGCCGTCTGGATGGCGGCACGGTCCTGTCCGTGTTTCAGTCACGAAAACCTAGACGACAATAGCACCACTAGCAAAACTCCTGTGATCCACGATCCGGAACACTTTCATGTTTACTTTCACTAGTTTACACCCACAGAGACACCGTTCATATGTCCAGGGTACCGCAGTCGCATTGCCGTCATCACCTAGGTGTTGACATAACCTAAAAAAAAACTTACTACTCACCGGCTTAGGTCCTACTACAGGAGCTTCTGAGAAAAACCACGACTATGTGTACAACTGACGACGAGTGCACCATATGTGGCGAACGGGAAACCAAAGCTGAAAACTATTCATTGACACGTTTTCAGGTGACAGAGAAAATAGGTTCGGTTTTCGATTGCTGAACAACACAGCTATTGAAGCAGGATTTCCCATATCCAGAAAATGTTGCGCTATTTTAGGCTGGAACTATCAGTTCGAGTGTATCTCCAATATTAGTTATTCCAAATGACAAGGTTTATTCCAAATGACAAGGATGCAAACGTATTCTACCAGCACACCAAACGTTCTTGACAATTCAACTTGCTTCCAGAGTGAACTTCTGCAGTTGTCGAATCGCACATTAGATATCCTAATTCCGGTTGATGTCCCACACATTGTGCCAGATTTTTTATCCCACGTTAAACCTCTAAATCAACCCATCCGTAGTAGCGAATCCGTTTTTCCATTCTTTTCAAGTTCAGCACGGTGTAAATGTGTAGATAAACAGACGATCCTGCACGACCGTACGGTTCGTTCGACTGGCGCTTCAACAAGCGACTTCCTACGTAGAGGTTAGGTTAGTTGTACCGCGGGCGTGGACACTAAAACAAAAAAATAAAAGCCATCAGACACGTCGCACGT